GTGAATTAAAAAAATATTATCTGCAAAATAGGTTTTTCTGGAATAACTTGGCAATGCCGCAATGGAAATTCGAAAACAAAAATTTCTTGGAGACCTAAAAAAACATGGAATCAAATGAAGTATTATATTTAAAAAAAAGTAACTTTGGTTGGCCACGCTCGTCTAAATCACCCAGTATGCGAGAAAATGATTTTTAAAAGTAGTATTTATCGATATGACTGCAAAAAAATTGAGCAGTTCGAAAAATTGTTTCCTCTTGATTGATCTGAATTAAATATTAATGTGAATATCGTTTTTTGGCAACCGTCCGGGAAGTGGGTACTTTCTTTGAGAAAGTAGCATTTTTCAGGCCAATGACATTGTTGTCATTGTAAATATGAAAATCTTGGTAGGTTTGGTTTTGATTAATGCCGTTGATCATTACCATAGCAGCGAAATAACGACTGACAGCTTTTTGACATGAAATTAATTGACATTTTGATTCTCGAAAGTTTGCATGGTTTTTGTTCGCAATTATCGTAATTTGAAAATGTGACTTGCGACAATTACTACAGCACAAGTATTGCATAAAAAATCAAAGTCCAGGTATGAAAAGGTTTATGATTTGTTCTTGAAATGGATATGAATGAATGCAAAACTATTACATATGATGTAATTTTGGCTTATTTGGCGCAAAAATCTAAAACAGTCGAATCCCTTACCTTGTGGAGCATGTACTCTATGTTGAAAAGTACCATTTTAGTGAAGGCCGTAGGTCCTAAAATTCTTAGTCCAGCCGCTTCCTTGGCTAAAGAGTGGGCAATGCGATTACCTTTACTCCTGTCGTGCCCTTTAATCCACCTCAGGATAGTGTTATTATCTACCGAGGCTTTGGCTAAATCTTGGTGGCACTCTACTACTAGCCCTGAGGTAACACGTTGTCTGTTCAAGGCTAATAGGGCTTGTCCGCTATCAGAGCAGATTGTTATGTTTTTGCCAGAAATTCCTTACCTGGTTATTTCTTTTGTGGCGATTGAGATGCCAACCAGTTCTGTTTGAACCACGCTGGTATTTTTCCCATTCCCCACTTAATCCTTAGGCTTAGTGATCTGGAGTACACTCCACATCCTGAGCCTTCGATTGTAGAATATAAAAGTATCAACTTTATTTGGTTTATTTTCAGGTAGCAATAATTATTGTTTTAGCCGGTGCGGTGCGTGTAGATGGGAAAAACTAACAAAAACGTCAATTGATCTAATAAACAACAAGAAGACATGTTGCTTGTGAAAATAACAGTTTCTGAAACACAATTTTTGTTGTAATTGGGCAAGAAAACATGCTGTTGTTCAGGAAATATTTATCTTCACCGCGATCCCATTCTGCACATATCAGATTATTCGCGAATTGCGAAAAAGGGAAATATTTGATTCAACTTGTTGGTATCCACAGTTTCGGGAATCTTGAATTAGGAATGGTAGAATTTTTAAATTTACCCAATCCGAAATTTGAAGAGACACGGTGGCTGGAAGTCTACCAATGTTACTGAAGAATATATAGACAATTCACTTACAAACAAAACAGATGAAAACAATCAATATGAAACGAAAACTTCACCTTCTTTTTTTGACTTCAACAAAAGGCATTAAAATATACCAAGAATTTCGAACAAATTGTATCCCTCAATTATTCGCACTTGATCGAATTTTCATATAAATATTGATACAAATAAGAATNTCGAACGCCTTTTCTTTTAGAAAGGAGCATTTTTCCAGCCTAGTTCGGGAAGTACTTACTTCCCGTAGCAACGAAATAACGACTGACATAAAATTAGTGGACATTTTGAATTTTGAAAGTTTGCATGGTTTTTGTTCGCAATTATCGTAATTTGAAAATGTGACTTGCGACAATTACTACAGCACAAGTATTGCATAAAAAATCAAAGTCCAGGTATGAAAAGGTTTATGATTTGTTCTTGAAATGGATATGAATGAATGCAAAACTATTACAGATGATGTAATTTTGGCTTATTTGGCGCAAAAATCTAAAACTGTCGAATCCTTTACCTTGTGGAGCATGTACTCTATGTTGAAAAGTACAATTTTAGTGAAGGAAAATGTAAACATGGCCATCATCATAAACGGTGCGTGGGATGGCGATACGATCTTTTTTTGAAGTAGGTGTTAGGTACCTATAACATTTTCCACCTAATCACATTTCATTTTTGTATAATTTACTATTTTGTTAAAACATTTTGATTTTGGTATTGTTTCCCACCAATTGAAAGCAAATTTTGATACATTTCAGCATTCACTTCAACAAAAAAATATGATAACATCAATACTTGAAAGTAGGATATCTTCGAATATTATTATTCAATTATTGTGAACTTTCAATAATATTTCATGGGCCCGTTTGAGCCGTGTCAGAAATTTCACCTTGAAGGAAAAATGTCGTTAATCCTTAGCTTTTAAAAGTTTTCCTTTATAAGGGGACGGCAAAAAATTATGGACGTAGTGTATGTGTACAGAATTAGTCTGAAATATCGCGGGATTAAAATTCTGTAGCCTTCGAATTGAAGAATAATTTCAGTTACGAACCGTATCTACAGTTTTCATCCTTTTTCTGAAAATTGTTATACGTTTTCCAATAAGATCAAACAATATGTACTCTATTTTTAGGGGATGGACAAGCACATTAGAATAATCAATTAAAATTTTCAACTACGGGTTCAAAGCGAAAATGGTGATTTTCGATGCAGTTTATATTCTTTTGGGAAAAATTGTCTCGGCAAGTTTATTCCACAAAACAAAAACGAGACTTATCAAAAAAAGATACACAGATATATAGTCGAACTGAAGTGAAAATCGACATGTAATTTACGTTACCTGCATGATGTTGGAAAATTCCATAGCGATAATAACTTTATCTTACATGTTTTAATAAATATCGTAATATCTATAGACAATAACATTCGCCAAAGACTCGTATTTTAGTGAGAGATTGAATCAAGCAGACAACAAATCGAAAGAGATGTGAAAAATAACCAATGAGTTAAGAGGAAAATGTAAAAAAGTACAACCAAAATTGAATCTAGATCTCAATTTATTAAACGAATTTTAGTGCTCAATAACCGATCAATTAACGCAGAATATCCTTCCAACGATTGATCCACTAGATAACTTACAGAAATTGATTTCTCCGAGTAATTCTCTGTACTTGTACGAGACAGACCTAACTAAGCTGAAGGCGGTAATCAATGATATAAAAAAGAAAAAAATCCTCTGGTGGAGACCACTTGTCAGCTGAGGAAGCCCTTAATGCCTTGGTAACGGCCGTAAATACTTCTATTTTTCAATAGATGTCTTCCCTTCAAGCTTAAAGTCTGCAATAGTGATACTTTTTCATAAAGGGGGAGCTATTGATGACCCCAGGAACTTCAGACTAATATCTTTTTATCAACATTGAGAAGCTTCTCAAATGTGAAATAATGGGTTTTTTAGAGAGACACAATATATTGGCTAGAGAAAAGTTCGGATTCCGAAATGAGGAAAACACAGGAGACGCCATTTTCAACAGATGAAACTACAGTGGGATATAGAACAAGTAACATTATGCCCAATTCACACAAAACAGACGTCTGGCAGAGACGAAGCTCGGACCTTTGTCCCTTCCGCGTCTCTTCTATGTAAACAAACGGTCCAGTGTTCACAGAAGTGACGTGTCGTGGTCGTTCGCTCTCCCGCCTTCGCCCCGTCTCTTTGCCGTCTCTCGTGGCGTAAAAGAAAAGGCACGCCAGTTCCTCACCATAGTGTCTTCGTGTCCATCCTCAAAAAATGCGGAATGATGTTGACTTCAACATACAATTTTGTGAAAAAGTTGCCAATATCTTTGTTTATTTTATTTTAATTGTTGATTATTGTAATAGGAGTGCCCAAGACCAGGCCTGGAAGGTT